AATTTTGTATTAGAATTAAGCAAATTTTGTTAATTTGATAAAATTGAACGTAAATTAAAGATTTATCAATGATTTAGTGTCAAAGTTTAAGTGAATCTTGAAATTTTATTTGATTATCAACAAATTTAAAATAAATAATGTAGGGTTTAGTTGAGATTAATGAGATGTCGTTTCTTTACGAAATGTAATAAATTTTTCATTAATTATTAATTATTATTAGAAATAATAAACGAAAGAATTGCTCTTTATAAGAAAATTATATAGTTTCCAATTTGTAAAAATTCGTTTAATTTTGTAATGGAATTAAGAAAATCTTGTTAATTTGATAAAATTTAACGTAAGTTAATTAATCACGTTACAGTAATAAAGCAGAAATCGTAGAAAAAAAACAAGTAATTAAAAACGTTTTCTTTGTTAAATTTTTAATCGGATTAAGTGAAATCATTAAATTCTTCAAATCGATTTAGACTTAAGATTTTCTTTAAAACTTTTGAACCTCAAATACTCAACGATTTACAAAATAATTCTAACTTTAATTTACAAAAAAATAAAACTGATTAGTTTTCGTATTTGTCAAAACTTGATTATTCTAAATAAATTTATACACCAAGTTCAAGTATAATTAATACAAGAATATTAGCAAATGAGATTGTTTTGAAAATTAACCAATTTTTAATTGAATTTTACAAATTTTCAAAAAGAAATAAAAATTGTTACAATTTTGAATAAATTTAACATGTTAATTGATTTCATTCAAATTAATTGTTTATTAGAACAAACAAATCTATTTTTTTGAACTTTTATATAATCGGATTTTTAGTTTCCAATTTCTAAAAAATCGTTTAATTTTGTAATGGAATTAAGAAAATCTTGTTAATTTGATAAAATTGAACGTAAATTAAAGATTAATCAATGATTTAGTGTGAAGGTTTAAGTAAATCTTGAAATTTTATTTGATTATCAACAAATTTGAAGTAAGTAATTTAGGGTTTAGTTGAGATTAATGAGATTTTCTGTGAAATTGTAGAAGATGAAAAAATGTAGATGGGATGGTCGTATGTTTCTGATGTGCGAAAGTCCGGTAATATTCGCAGCGCAAATTGAGTTTGTTTTTAGTGAGGAACGGGGTGGAGTTGATTGGCGCATTAAGGCGGTTTCTATTAAGTTAGACGGCGAGTGCAGCGAGGATGGGAAAAGGGCGCGAATTGAATTTGCTGTTAGCGAAGGGATGGGACGTCAGGTGCAAGCCGTTCAAATAATGTAGTTGCATCTTTGCAGTTTATATTTGTTGTTTGGAAAGTTGCGCGAAAGAGGCTCTATCGGAACATTAAACTTTTAGCAGGATTAGTTTATAGCGAGGATTTGCAAGAAGATGATGATGATGATGAAAATATATATTGCTTTGGAAATTATTATTATTATTATTGCCACCCTTTGTATTATCAACTGATGCATACCCGAATTGTAGGTATTTGCATACTACTATGATGTACACATCTTCGTGGAGTTAAATTTAAGATCCGGTTGAGCGTGAATTCTCTTTGTGCAAACAGCAGCAGAAGCCTAACGATTCGGACTCTATAATAATCCGTTCTGTATTTGACTTAAAACGTGCAAACAGCGTTTTCGTGAGCGGATGGGAGCGCTTGGAAATAATAATTACAGTTCGCTTTGTGAGTTCAAGCTCAATTAGCGCACGGCGATGGAGCCTACACACCTTTTCTTTGAGCACATCCTCGAATTACCCTTCTCGCAGGACTCGAATCTTCCTTGTAATTACGCGCAAGAAGTTAACTCAACACACATCCACTAATAACCAAACAAAATTTTCCCCATAATAATGAAAAAAATGAAGCAATTAAAAGAAAAAATGTGCACTTTGTGCTTGAGAAACAAAGGCGAACTTCGTATCGTTAAGGTTTATTATATTCTGCTTGAATTAATAATCGCTTCAGGCTGAACTTGCTCGTCTTTTATAGAGGAGATGACATTCCGGCTTTGATAATGTATAATAATTGGGGGATGGGGTTGGAAAAGGGAATATCTTCATAGTAAGAAAACTTACGTTCACCACGAAATCCTTCGGGCTGTGCGCGTTCGTTCCGCAAACGTACAGACGATCTCCGTTTCCCATCGACTGGATGACTCTGATGTGATTGCGACAGTCGAAATGCTGCAAAAAAAATAAACAAAACATATATTAGTTACAGTTAAATCGTGTCTTTCATCTTAGTTTTACTTAAATATAAACAAAAATGTTAAAGTTAAACGGTCGGCGGATATATCCGCCATATCCTTTACACATGATTGTGCAAGGACACTGTAGTTCATCTTAGTTTTAGTTAAAAATAAACAAAAATGTTAAAGTTAAACGGTCGGCGGATATATCCGCCCTATCCTTTACACGTGATTGTGCAAGGACACTGTAGTACGCAAAGGGTCAAATCATGTCTTTTAGTTATAGTTAAATCGTGTCTTTCATCTTAGTTTTAGTTAAAAATAAACGAAAATGTTAAAGTTAAACGGTCGGCGGATATATCCGCCCTATACTTTACACATGATCGTGCAAGGACACTGTAGTCATCGAATTGTAAAATCTTCGTACGCAAAGGGTCAAATCATGTCTTTTAGTTACAATGAAATCGTGTTTTTCATCTTAGTTTTAGTTAAAAATAAACGAAAATGTTAAAGTTAAACGGTCGGCGGATATATCCGCCCTATCCATTACACATGATTGTGCAAGGACACTGTAGTCATCGAATTGTAAAATCTTCGTACGTAAAGGGTAAAATCATGTCTTTTAGTTATAGTTAAATCGTGTCTTTCATCTTAGTTTTAGTTAAAAATAAATAAAAATGTTAAACTTAAAAGGTCGGCGGATATATCTGCCCTATCCTTTACACGTGATCGTGCAAGGATACTATAGTCATCGAATTGTAAAATCTTCGTACGCAAAGGGTCAAATCATGTCTTTTAGTTATAGTTAAATCGTGTCTTTCATCTTAGTTTTAGTTAAAAATAAACGAAAATGTTAAAGTTAAATGGTCGGCGGATATATCCGCCCTATCCTTTACACATGATCGTGCAAGGACAATGTAGTCATCGAATTGTAAAATCTTCGTACGCAAAGGGTCAAATCATATCTTTTAGTTACAGTGAAATCGTGTCTATCATCTTAGTTTTAGTTAAAAATAAACGAAAATGTTAAAGTTTAACGGTCGGCGGATATATCCGCCCTATCCTTTACACATGATTGTACAAGGACACTGTAGTCATCGAATTGTAAAAAAGGGTCAAATCATGTCTTTTAGTTTTAGGTTTGTTGACGTGGCAAAATTTTCTGGTTTCGAGTCCCAGGCGGACGAATAACACGCCAATTCATGGCCCAATCGGGCGATCAAACTCATGTTTATTTTTTTCCTCTTCCTTCATTCCTTCTTCATCTTCTTGTACAACTTGTTATTTTCTTTATTTCTTTTTTTGGTCTCAGGGCGAAAGCTCAAAGTAAGAAGTCTGCCCCCATGGGGAATCGATACATCCGCACGTGAAACCACGTGAAACAGTATATACACACTCCACCCTTTCTTCGTTTTGCGAAAGCTTCCAACCTCTTATTATTGCACGTCGGGAATATCAAACGGAAGGATCTACACGAATACCGTCACTTTCGCAATATCCTTCGCCTTGCAACTCCCAGATAAATGTTGTCGGTTTTTTTTTCTTCTCTCTTTCTCGCTTTATTATTCTACATAAATTTTCATAATTTCATACTCCACTTACTCAATCCTCGTTAAAATTTGCATACTAACAGGATACATTATATCGCGAATAAATAAATACAAAAAAAAAACACCTCGTACCTTTTGAGCATTGAAATTCAATAGGACCGCACGGAAACAGCGCACTTCAAGATAAGTGAAATGTATTGCTGTTTCGTTCGTTAATTTATGTTATTCAGAAAAACCGTATCTACAAAGCAATTAAATGCAGTAGAATTTTATTTTGTAACGTCACTGTCATTATGACATTTGACAGTTATTTCAAGAAATATATTTTTACTGTTGATTTAGTAACTTAACTGTCATTATGACGTTTGACAGAAATAACTGTCAAACACAAACAATTTGACAAACTTATCAAGAAATATATTTTTACTGTTGATTTAGTAACTTAACTGTCATTATGACATTTGACAGAAATACCTTTCAAACTTATCCAACAGAACAAAATTAATAAAAAAAACAAATTATGACTGTTGATTTAGTAACGCAATTGTCATTATGACATTTGACATAAATATCTGTCAAACACAAACAATTTGACAACATTATCAAGAAACGTATTTTTACTGTTGATTTAATAATTTAACTGTCATTATGATAAAATACACATTGTAGATTTAATGATGTAATTGTGATTTAAGTATTGAAATTTAAGACAAAATAAACAAAACGCAAATGATTACTGATGAAAATTTATTATGACATTTCGCAGAAATATCTGTCAAACTCAAACAATATAAACGAAACACATATTATTACCATCGACTTAGCAACGTAACTGTCATTATGACATTTGACATAAATAACTGTCAAACACAAACAATTTGACAACATTATCAAGAAACGTATTTTTACTGTTGATTTAATAACTTAACTGTCATTATGACATTTGACAGAAATATCTTTAAAAGTTAACCAATTTGACAAATACACATGATTTAAATGTGATTTAATCAAATTTAGAACAAAATAAACAACCCAAATTATTACTGATGTAAATTTTATTATGATATTTGACAGATATATCTATCAAACTCAAACAATATAAACGAGAAACATATCATTACCATCAACTTAGCAACGTAACTGTCATTATGACATTTGACATAAATAATTGTCAAACACAAACAATTTCACAACATTATCAAGAAACGTATTTTTACTGTTAATTTAATAACTTAACTGTCATTATGACATTTGAGAGAAATATCTTTCAAACTTAAAAAAATTTGACAAATACACATTGTCGATTTGATGATGTAGTTGTGCTTTAATCAAATTTAGAACAAAATAAACATAACAAAATGATTGCTGATGTAAATTTTATTATGAGATTTGACAGACAAAATAAAAAAGAAACGTATTATGACTGTTGATTTAGTAACTAAACTGTCATTATGACATTTGACAGAAATAACTGTCAAACACGAACAATTTGGCAACATTATCAAGAAACGTATTTTTACTGTTGATTTAATAACTTAACTGTCATTATGACATTTGACAGAAATATCTTTCAAACTTAACCAATTTGACAAAATACACATTGTAGATTTAATGATGTTAAATTTTGATTTAAGTATTGAACTTTAGGACAAAATAAACAAAACGCAAATGATTACTGATGTAAATTTTATTATGACATTTGACATAAATATCTGCCAAACACAAATAATATGACAAAATAAACAAGAAACGCAGTATTACTGTTGATTTAGTAACTTAAGTGTCATTATGACATTTGGCAGATATAAATGTCAAACATAAACAATAGGTCAAATTAAACAAAATTACTGTTAATTAACTAACCTATGATATTTGACAGATATATTTGAAATATGCCAAAATAAATCAAATTAATAATTTAGAAATATGATCAAACAGTTGTGTTTCCTCTGAAATGAAAAAAAAAAGACTAATAATAGTTGAATTGAGTAATAAATAAAAATTTCTTGTATTTCCCAAACTGTATGTTTAAACTAATGTTACGTGAACGAGTGTATATATTTATTTGCTTTTAACTAGTTCTGCTTGTGTTTCGAAGCGAAGCAACATCCCGGGGAAAACTTGTTCGAAAGTTTGCTCAGTATAACATACATACACGTTACATAATTTTTTTTTTGTCAGTTGGTGTTTCACGTTGTACGGTTTTCCTCGCACACAAAAAAAAAAGAAGTGGAAGAATTGTTTCCGCACAAAAACAAGCTAAAGATCCACTCGAGTTTATTCCAAGTTGGTGAGAGAGAAGCAACAAAAGACCCATCGATTCACAAAAAAAAGGGAAAAGATTAATCCTGCAGGAACGACAATCATAACAAGGACGAAATGAAATGCAATTACCTCGGGGACACTTCATCAAAATGAAAGAAAAAAAAAATGAATAAAACGAGAGATGCAATTTCAAGGTGCGCGTTTTATTGTCCCGTTTTTAATTGCGTTTTCTGGATTACGTTGATCCCGGATTTCGGAGGGTCGCAGGATTCGGTCGGTCGCTTGTTGTTGGTGGTGGTAAGGTGATCATTGGGGCGAAGGAAATGTAGTGTGCAGAGTAGTAGGAGGAGGCAGCTGCACCTGTTCCCAAGTGTCGTATAAACCAGATTTATATGACTAAAATTAAACGTTACGGACCGTTTAATTGGGGGTAGAGGGATGCAGAAGATGCTGGAGGAGAACGTATAATTGCCGTGATATGTTTCAATCAATCGTCCGTGTAATTGCAAAGCCTGCAGTGAAAGCAAAAATTTACAAAAAAAGAAACTTTGCGACATGGAATTATTAATCCAACAACTCGAAGCGTAATGACCAATTTAAAATCCCATTGTCGGTTTTCCGCTTTTTCGCGCCACATCTCAATTTTACACCTTATAAAAATCGAGCGAAACTTGGGGGGGAAAAGGATCAAATAAGAATCAACTCATCCTCGAACCATCAAAAAATCCAACCCGAACCCCTAAACTAAACTACCGGCACTTACTTTAACCGACACCGGAAACGGAAGATGGAGCTCCCGGCGAATGAAGAATAAGAAGAAAAAGAGAGAGAGAGAAAAAAAAATGAATGTATATAGAAAGACGCGAACTGCTACGATCTCGATCGAGGTGGGCGCTCCATGCAGCATTCTTACGTGACGTTTGAGAAGCGTTTTCCAATCATTTTACCCGACAAATAAAAAAAAGTAAATGATGTGTACACCTCCAAACGTTTCCCTCGCACATAAAAATACATTTACTTTCTAATACGTTTATATGACAGTTCATATTTTACAGAAAATACTTATGATTCATGATTTCAAAAAAAAATACTTTCCATTCACGCAAATTTCATTTAATTTCATTTCAATTATAGTCACTTAATCATCACTTAATAACTGAAATACTTCAAACCTATATAT